CGCCTTACAAAAATTATAATAATTTTTCTTTTGAGTCAAAAACCGCCGTGAATTTAAGGCATGAGTTACCGATTTATATTTCTTCTACGGCAGATATTTCTTGTTTCGTCACGTCCCATGCCGTCCTGTGAGAGCGGTAGGCCGCCGCTGGTACAAAATGTACAAGACATCGTCTGCCCACTGCTACACTTTGTTGACATACATTGTATTACACAACGTAATTTTCCGCTAGAAATAACTATAGAATAGCATTAAAAGATAGCACAATTCGCTTCACACAGTCGACACATGGATAAACCACAAAGTTATTTTACGAATCACATGTCCACTTGCCTCTGGTGCTGTTATTTTTCAAGGGGCAACATCGCAACACATTAGCGGACGCCCCAGGAGGTGGCAAATTGCTATTGTCTTGTCGGCGCGCAAAACAAACATGAAATCCGACCCTATCACATTAACGCAAACGGTAACGCGTTAGAAATAATTTCTGACGATTTTCTAACCATTTTCTGACGAAAATCTAACCAAATACTGACGATTTTCTAACCATTTTCTGACGAAAAAATAACTCGTTAGTAACGGGGTACCCGGTTAACTATAACGCGAACGGTACTGTACTACCGCAAATTCACACTACCAGCTTTGTATTCCTGTGGTTTAGTAGCATTTTTATTTTGGGCCGGAATTTTTTTTTATTCACCGACCCGCGTGCACTAGTTTGGGAGCACGTCGGCAGAACGTACTGCGCCTGCGCAGAACCCCGTATTTTTTCGTTTTTATTTGGGTTTTTGGTCAACGTTGCATCAGAATTTTGCCTGTTGCAGAGGATATTCTTTCCGACACAACATTTGGAAACTACTGTCGAAATGCCAACCTTATATGAGCGAACACAACCTTATATGAGACGTTCTGCCGAACTGCTGTGTACAATACATTACGGGTTTTGTGCAGGTGCAGTACGTTCTGCCGAGGTGCTTAGTTTGGGGGTCTTCGGAGGGTGTCATCCATAAACTTAAGGTAGTGTGGCCTTAGATGAGAGAAAGAACAGATGACGTGTACCTCTGTACCAGTGCCTGCCTCCATGTCCAGGAACAGGTCCACCAGAGTCCTGACCAGTTTGGCAGCCTTGGCCTTACTGATGGAGGACAGGAAGGGTCGGATGTACTTTACCAGACCTCCCAGCTCTAAACAACACAACAACACACTTCTTCAGCTTTGTGTTTGTATTTTCGGGAATGATACACATCAGCACAGGCAGACTCTGCTGGTAACAACTTACCCACATCAAGTACACATGTAATGCCAAACTAAGAACTAAAAAAGAATCTAGGGTAAAAGTGTTAGTCCATCATATTTATCTTTTATATGATGTCCTTTGCACCATGTTGGATTAACTACTGTACTTTCAAACATCAATTCCAACATCCAAACCCAGTATTCAAATTTTCTAATGTGGTGTACTTGGCACATGCAAAATGTGTTAAAATTAGTCTGTGGACTAGTAGTATTTGATATTTAACCACAAGAAAATTATAGAAAAACACATTTAGACACTGTGTGATATGGCTAGTTATCACACAGGCCAGAATACCCATATAGAACGTTATTGTGGCCCAAGCATGACATAAATTTGAGTACCATGATTTAACAACGAACATAGTTGAACAGACAGTCTTGAGTGCAGCGTATGAGTATATTATAGTTATACGAATGTTGTAGTGACGTACCCTCAGCCTGCCCCGTCTTGGCCAGCAGACCGCCCAACTCCAGAATCCCCTGCTCCTTCACTCTGGTCGCCTCCTCGTCACCATCCACGATATCTCTTTTTACTACAGGAAAAGAACAAAGCGTTTATTTATCAACACAATAAAAACGACTGCAATCGGCAAGTGGGGAGGGGGGTGATCATGAGTAAGAGATTTTGAGGGAAGAAATTGCGCGCTCATCAACCAGTGAGCGGATTCTTTTCCAGATTCAACCGCCACAAAGACACTATAAGAAGATTGTGATGCCATGAGAACTAACCTATGCTCTGTAGAATATCCATAGCGGCGTGGTTGTCTGTAGTTCGGAGAGCCAGAGCTTTCTCCAACTCCTGCGCCGCCATCATGGACCCTTCCATGTGCATCTCTCCCAACATGCACCAGGCGGTCTCGCATTGGCGTTTATACCTAATGAACTGTTCCAAAAACTAACCGTGGAGGGGGTAAGCCAGGAAACAGTGTAAGATTTGAGCAAGATAAGCTCCTTTGTGTGAGCAATCGTGGACAACATATTTGAGAGAATGTGGTGTTTAGACAGAAAACTAAGGAGAGTTTGGGCAAATCAGGATTAAAACCAGAGTACGTGCAAAAGTTGATTTTTTATCTCTTCCACCCCCCCCTCAATAGTTTTTGAACAGACCAATGTTCACAAGGTGCCATGCCACAACATTTCCACATTTCCGACAGCGATAAGGTAGAAATTGGGTCTTTTGGCTTCAAATATTTGCATATATTGGTACTAACAAAATTGCTTTAGTTGTGCTGATGTGGCATGGTAGTTTTTTAGATATAATTTCCTTGGTTCAACACTGTGTCGGGCCTTGTTGTAACCTTAATACATGTGGACGTGGAGAAAGAGGAAGTGCCACCTATTATTATGCATAACGTCTAAATGGTTCCAGTACCAAAAACCCACTTTGACCTGCTGTTCTGATAGTTCAGCTCTGTCCTGCTGTCCCAATACTGCAACCCAGTCTGTCTTGCTGTCCCAATACTTCAACCCAGTCTGTCCTGCTGTCCCAATACTTCAACCCAGTCTGTCCTGCTGTCCCAATACTTCAACCCAGTCTGTCCTGCTGTCCCAATACTTCACCACTGTCCTGCTGTCCCAATACTTCAACCCAGTCTGTCCTGCTGTCCCAATACTTCACCACTGCCCTGCTGTCCCAATACTTCAACCCAGTCTGTCCTGCTGTCCCAATACTTCACCTCTGTCCTGCTGTTCCGATACTTCACACCTGTCCTGCTGTCTCAAATTGGACAGGGGGTGAAGTATAAGTATTACTCCCCCCCCCCTCTGTCCTGCTGCCATGTTGTGGGGACGTTGTGCCGCTTTGCCAAGCTATTCTGATATTTCACCCCCTGTCCCATACTATCAACCCCCTGTATTGTGATACCTCAACCCCCTATGTCTCCTGCTGTCCTGATTGTTCCTTTTCTAACCCCTTTAGTATTTTTAGTGGGTATCATGATATTTCAACCTTGTGTGTAGTGCCCATTTTTTCAAGAAATACTATGAAACATTGGGGGGGTTTATAGGCGCTACCAACTGATCCGGCAAACAGGTCTAGACCTTTTCGGCCAAACGGTTAGAGTGTCGTCAAGTGGTTAGGATTTGGTCCCGGGCCGGGGTTCGAACACGACCAAACCTGGGCACCAGTCCACAGGCAGACCCTCTAACCACTCGTCCAAAAAGGTCTAGACCCATTTGCCGGCTCAGTTGGTAGCGCCTATAAACCCCCCACTATTACAACTAAACTACGGACCACCAAAAAAAAACCCAGGGCCACCAATCCCCATGGCCACCTACTAGTCTTTTTTTACTGTCACTCTGCAGTCTACTAACTTGATTTTCCCACACATCTGTAGGACTGAGACATGATGATGACAGAAGTACCTGGACCCAGCTATCAGGTGGCCAGCGGGACCACAGCCAAGCGCTCCACTCCTGATCCAGACAACTTCTCTTCAAACATAGACCCTGCTAACAGTCTGAGTGAGCTGCAGCTCCATGCACTCAGATTGATTGAATCCTTAGATGAACTAAGACAGCGAAATGAGCTTTGTGATGTTATCTTATCAGTAGACGGACAGGATATTCCTGCCCACAGGGTGGTTTTAGCCGCTGTCAGCCCATACTTTAATGCCATGTTTACTCATAAAGTCAAAGAATCCAGAGAATACATTGTTAAACTAAAGGACATGGAAGCCAATGCCATCGAAGAGATTGTCAAGTTTGCCTACAAGGGCCATGTGCAGGTAACCCAAGAGAACGTACAGGCCATCCTGAATGCAGCAAGTCTGTTACAGTTAAACAAAGTACAGGACATTTGTTGTGACTTTCTGAAGAAAGAGCTAGATCCTTCCAACTGTCTGGGGATCAGAAACTTTGCGGGTACGAGAGGTTGTTTTGACTTGAAGAACACGGCAGACATGTTCACACAGCAGCATTTTGAGGAGGTGTGTCAACATGAGGAGTTCTTACAGCTTCCAAAAGAACAGTTAATAAACCTGATCGAACGCGATCATCTCAACGTTAAACAGGAAGAGTGTGTGTTCCTTGCGGTTATCAATTGGGTCCGTTATGATCCAGAGACTCGCGCCGATCAGTTGGCTTCTGTGTTGGAATACGTTCGTCTCCCGCTGGTTTCGTGGGAGTTTCTGACTAAGAAAGTTGTGGCAGAAGAGTTAGTTTCTGGACGAGAAGACACGAGGAAGTACCTGAATGAAGCTCGTCAGTACCACGCCAGACACTACCATGTAGACCTGAGGCTGTCCCAGGTGCTGAACCTGCGCACCTGTCCACGGTTGTCTTTTGGACAAGCTGAGTACATCTATGTTATTGGTATGCACTCAGTCTTTGTAACGATTAGGAACATATTTTAGGCCACACAGGCTCCTTTCTTAAAAGGGCTAAAGTTTTCTTATGGGGTGAGAGTAAATTTTTTAATCAAAAGCCCATATTGTGAGCAACATATCTGTATCTGTTCAGAGCAGGGTTCAGAGGTCGTGTAATGGTTTTGGACAGACACATACACACAGACGCATAGTAATTTACACACAGACGCACATGCACACAATTGCATGCAAACAGGGGCCAGTACACACAAATTCACCGTCACACACCCATTATACTCACACATACTGTACATACTGGTATAATTGTACCTCCAGTGATAAGATCCAGATCGATATCTGAAAGTTTAACCTTTCTAGATTTATGGACGAGGTAACAAGATTCTAATGTTAGAAAATACTGTCTAGAACCCACCATTACTTAGTACTTGTACAGGGCTCGAAATTCATTTTTTCTGAATCATTTGTGCACTTAGGTGCACCCAACCTAAAATATTGGGTACACAAAAACATTTTTGGCTGCACCTGACCATATAAATAAGTAGAATGTTAGCAAAAACTAACATGTTTCATATCTAAAGCAAGGTACTGCTACAATAATTTTATTATTTTTCTGACACTTAGAAGTTAAGAATATGCTGTATACTACTATACATTTAACATTTTTACATTAATATATGTAAACCAGACTGAGTTTGAAAATATTTGGGTGCACTGGTGCGCCCACAGAAAAAAATTGGGTGCACTGCTCAAAATTTGGGTACACTAAGGTGCACATGCATATTTTGAGTCCTAGTGTATATATAGAGGTTCTTAATGGTAGCATTGTTTGTGATATTTCAGGAGGAGAAACTGTTGGAAGAGAGACGATCCGGTCTGTAGAGAGGTACAGCCCCCATCGTGACATGTGGAGCACGGTTACTCGCCTGTCCTCACCCCGCAGAGGTGCAGGCGCTGCAGTCATTGACAAGCTGCTGTATGTGGTGGGAGGGTCAGATGGGCTGTGGGCACTCAGACAAGTGGAGGTCAGAATGATTGTTAGGCCATACCAATTTAATTTGTTGTTTCTCGGATTTTTTCAGAAAAAAATATAAAGCGACAGGGCGAAATAAAAAAACAGGCCAAAGCACCCCATGATAGCCGGAAATGTTACAATATGAGCCATGAAGTGAACATACCAGGCTGCTTTGCAATTAAAACAATAGATTTTGAACTTTTATTAAAACAAAATTGCATTGTTATATTGAACAAATTGAACAACCATTGGGTCAAAATATGTCTTTCATTGAGCATTTTATATTTAGAAAAAAAATTTTTTTGCAAGTCAGAAAAAAATGGACAGGGCAAATCTGAGAAATAACAAAAATTAAATTGGTGTCACGTGGCCTTATTTACACTACAATTCTTTATTTTATATATTTATTTATGAAGATTTACCACATTTTGTGGAGGGTTGACATAACAGGACTTAATCACTTCTTCAAGATGAGAAACCTGAGACCAGACTGTAAGGTTTGAACCTCTCACATCTTATGTATAAGAGTGGTGGATCTTAATAAAGTGTGGCTCTTCTTAAACATGGGACCTCCAGCTTAACTCCCTCATGGGACCATCCAAGCAGAGGAGTTAAGTGTTCGAAATACACTTTTTTTTCAGGTTGCTCAGCACTAGGCAGCTCAAGTCGAAAAGCCAGTTGGCTGCCCATCAATATTTCAGGCTGTTTATTTTATTTTTAGAAGACATTAGTCATAAGCCTGAGCTAACCAGTAATGCTTTGTTCACATGCATGATGGCCAAGGTGGACCATGGTCTATTTCATAAGCCATAAGCTAAAAAGTTCACTCTGTAAGGCCACACCAATTTAATTTCTTGGTTAACGGATTTGCCCGCTTCATTTTCTTCCTTAATTTGCAAAAAAAAAATTCAGAATCAACTGCAAGAGCTCATTTTTTGCCCTGAACAGTTGAAAACAGTCCTTTTCTTGCTACTGTTGTTACTGTTATTCCATCTTTCAATGCAGTGGTATCATTGGAAGTTCAAAATTCCTTGTTTAAATTTTCAATCAGCTTGGTGTGTTGACTTCATGGCTCCTATCGTACCATTTCGGACCATAATAGGATGCCTAGGCCTGTTTTTTGTTGTTGTTTTTTCGCCCGCCCGCTCCAATATTTTTCTAGAAAAATCCGTTAACCAAGAAATTAAATTGGTGTGGTCAAAGCAAAAAGAAAAAAAAAAGAAAACTTGGCAACCTAGCATCTTCTACACAGAAAACATGGCTTGCACCGTTAGAGTGTGTAGTTGGAACCATGGTATGTGTCTGTATTTGTGTCATTATGTTTGTGTGTAGGAATAAATGAGAATGATTTCATAGTCTAGTTAACTCCTGCCTTTCTTCAGGTGTTTAACCCACAGACAGAAGAGTTTGTTCCTGCAGCTGACATGTTGGAACAGCGCAGTAGTGTGTGTGTGCTGTCCTATAACAGCCGGCTGTACGCCTGCGGAGGGTACGATGGCAGCTCCAGTCTCAGGTCATGTGAGAGGTATGATCCCAACTACAACGAATGGACCAAGATCGCAGGTGATTAACAGTTGCTATGTAGTAGTAAGTAAGTAGTAGTAAGCTTTTATTTAAACTTGAAAGCTTGTATATGACCTGTCCACTTTTCAACAAGGTCGAGGGTTGCGGGGGGGGGGAGTGTCACGGATTACAAATCAAACCAAGGAGATATGCTATCAAATTGAATATAGCATACGCTAAAATTATTGTAGGAATGTACGTGTACTTCCCTACATTAAACGAAGTGGACTATTTTTACTTTATACCTACATGTACTTGTAAGAACACACAGTTTAACTCCTAGACATGTATAATGATTTTAAGTTAAAAGCTCTGATAAAATTTGATGTCAATTTGGTATTGCAGTATGTGAAAATTTCCAATTCATGGTACGAAGCCTCTCCATTCTGCCACAATGATTGCACCAATCAAGGATTAAAATGCTGACATATATTTCCATGATTGTGATAATAAGTAATGATAGAAATGTAGTAGTGTACATGGTACATGTATGTAATAACTGTGTAATAAATGTGGTTGCTTTGTATACTGTCTGAAAATCTGTTTTTCCTTTTTTTCCAGAAATGAGCAGTCGTCGCAGCATGGCCGGGATTGCTTCCCTGGGTGTGTACATATACATCGCAGGGGGTTATGACGGCACATCAGACCTGAGTACAGTGGAGAGGTATAACACACAGGTCAGACCTCAGGCCTTATGGCTTCTTGGTTAAACTTGGAAATAACCTATCTTGGCTTGTGTGATATAAAGAAGTGACAGCACATCTGACTTAAAGGCTTGAGGGATTGTGCCCCATTTTCCTCAATCGTTTGATTCGTTCATGTGGTTGATCAATTTAATAGGTGCCACATTCGCAATTTTTACTCGAGGCTATTAGTAACTTGCCATTATTATTCCTATCAGTTCTATTTTTATTCCTCTTCATTGATGTTGAGTAAATATTTGATTCTGCTGTAGTCACCGTTTGCATTTGTGACCACCAGATGAGATGTTTTCATGTTTTCATACGCTACGTTGCACAACATGTAAGATTACTCTGAGATTATTATGGTTGCCCTCGGCCAGCTTTTTTCAATCCAACCCTTTTCTTGCTTTTATTGAGAGTCCAGTAACTTGACAGCTGAAGTACAATGTCATGTATATGTACAGACCTCGAAATTAACTTTTTTCCCTAGTGTCCCAGCACTGTCCCAAAAATAAATTTCAATTGTCCCAAACTGAGGATGAATTGTCCTAACCTGTTTTTCGGAAAGTATGTATGACAAAAACTTGAAGTCAACTTTATGTTGCTTAATATATATGACTTCCAGACACAAGTAAAGAAGTGCAGAGTTTGGGGAGAAATTTTGCAGAAATTTCGGGGGCTTTTCCTGAGCCAAAAGTCAGGAAACATGCCTGAACAACTAAAGAAGGGCCCAGACATTCTTATGCTGATTATTTTTCTGTTGTCCCAAAAGTGTCCCAAAGATACTTTGTGCTTGTCCTGGCCTAAATTTCAGTGGTCAGTGGCCATCGGGACACCATTTATTTCGAGCCCTGATGTATACTGACTTTTCCCCCCGTGCAGCTGAATGAGTGGAGTCCTGTGGCCTCCATGAGAAGCCGACGCTCCATGACTGGTCTGGCAGCGCTCAACGGGAAACTGTACGTGGTGGGAGGCTGTAACAGAAGTGCATGGTGGGTACACTCGTACAGGTGTTACGTTAGCAGGGCTCGAAATTCGTTTTTGGGAATAAGTTCACTGGTGCACCCAACCTAAAAAACTGGTGGCACGCAAAATATTTTAGGTGCACCATGTAAGATAAGATAAGTAGCAAAAACTATAATGATTATTATATTTCATTTCAAGAAAAGTACTATGATTGTATTATTTTTTTTGACACTTTGATGTTAAGAATATGCTGTATACTACTACACATTTAACATCTTTTACATATTATGGTATTACTAAACCTAAGAAAAATATTTGGGTGCACTGTTGCACCCACAGAAAAAAATGGGTGCACAGCTCCAAATTTGGGTGCACTAAGGTGCACATGCACCCCTGAGTATTTTGAGCCCTGGTTAGTTACTAACAGACTTCTCAACACTTCAAACCTGAATGCCAATTAGATTTTGGTTGCATAATACAACCCTATATATATAGTTTTCTCAACAGAATTTGCATGACCATTAGGCCACACTAATTTAATTTGTTGTTTCTGGGATTTTTTCAGAAAAAAATATGAAGCGACAGGGCGAAATAAAAAAAAAAAAACAGGCCAAGGCACCCCATGATAGCCGGAAATGGTACAATATGACCTATGAAGTCAACATACCAGGCTGGTTTATAATTAAAACAATATATTTTGAACTTTAAATGAAACAAAGTTGAATTGTTAACTGTAACAACTAGGAAGAAGAGGACTTTCTTCAACCATTCAAGCCAAAATATGTCTTTTATTGTGCATTTTGTAGTTGATTTAGAACCTAAAGAAAAAATTTTTCTCCAAATCAGAAGAAAATGGACAGGGTGAATCCGAGAAACAACAAATTAAATTGGTGTGGCCTTATTATAATATTTGCCCACATGTATGTAATATGCTTTCCTCCCAGTTTACCTGATGTGGAGATGTATGACCAGTCCCTGGACGTGTGGACGGTGGTGGCTGGCATGTGTGTTCCCCGCAGCGGTGTGGGCGTGGCCGTGTTAGGACAGACCCTGTACGCGCTGGGAGGGTACGACGGGAACGACTACCACAGCAGTGTGGAGGTGTACGACCACGTCACCGACAAATGGGAGGTCTCTTCTCACATGGCTGTAGGACGCAGACGTTTTGGTTGTTGTTCTTGACTACAAGTAGATGAGGATCTTAGTTGAGTACTTATAACAGGGGGTGCCCTAACATTGGACGCTTTTTCACGCGCTCGAACTCACGGCACTCTATCGCTATAGTTGTCAGAGAGTGGTCAGGTTTTGATGAATGTATTTTGAGAACATTAATGTAAACAACATACTTGGATAAGAAATTCATTCATACTAATCATAAGCTCTTCTCGCTCCGTGTTACAAGTGACAAACTCTGTGAGATTTTTTCGTGAATGTACCTTCGTGAATGCGGCTACACTAGACAGTGTGCCCTAACTTCGGACACTTTGGTTATTTTGTTCTCTTTACACGATGATGAAATTAAGTAATTTAAACAAAAATAAGAATAGAATTTTATGACATGTTAACTTTATTTGGACAGTAAAATGGTGATTGGTTGTACTTCTCGAGGAGGGTAGTATTTAATGCAATCGGTCCGTGTTTCTACTGAAAACCCAGCTTACGCAGTCAATGTGGTCCCATGGGAATCATGGGAAATGCAGACGACAATGGTGTTGATGTTGTTTTTCGGGGGTCGGTTTTCTACTAAACAAAGACTCAGAGATTCAAATATTTACTGTTTTGTAAAGCTTTATTCCTTGACTGTGTATATGGCAGTTGTGTCATTCTCAAATCTTGGTACAGGTCTATTTCTGGGCACGAGCCGCCGCAATGCAGTGACCTACTTTCCAGTGCCATTGTTATGATTGGTGAAAATGACCTATTTTTTCTCTTTTTCGAGTAAACGATAAATGAATATATAGAACTATAATTTGCATGCAAATAACAGCAGTACGCATATTGACTATGTTTATTTTCCTTTTTAATTAGCGAAGTTAGTGGCAACAAACATGGCATACTTTTGCATTAATAAGATCAGTAAAAAATCAGTCCGAAGTTAGGGCATGTCCAAAGTTAGGGCACCCCCTGTTATAAATGATGTCAATTGGTCAGAATGAATACTGATACTCTACAATAAACAAAGAATGATGCACATGATTGTATGGACTTGGATTTTTATGACTCACCCATACAAACACACCAGTTACAATTTAATACTTAGTAGTAGGTCCAACCCTTGCATGACGGGGAACAACGGATGTTAAGCCGTGCAGTGAGTGTGAGTGAGTGTAGTATGACATGTTGACTTCTGCTGGATTCAGTACTTCGTTTGGTGGGATCAGGTCCATAATACTTTAATTTTTTATTGCCTTTGCCAGAAGGGTATATTTTCGGTTTGTGCATGGTTGAGTGTGGGCCTGAATGTATGTCAACAGCACATAACTCAAGAAGCTCTGGATGGATCTTCATGATAATTTAGAAGGTAAATAGTGGTTGTATCAACAAACGTCAACTTCAAAATGATCTACCTGGCATTTTCTAATGATACTGCAGGGGGCTTTTGATGCATTTATTGTTTGTATGTGTACAGCATAACTCGAGAAGCTGTGAATGGATCTTAATGATCTTTGATAGGTGAGTAGCAGTTGTGGAAGTTCAAGTTCGAAAATGGTGTCACTTGTCGTGTTCCTACGTTGTTACAGTGGTTGTGTTTTTGTATATGTACAACATAACTTCAGAAGCAGTAGATGGTGGTTGATGATATTCAGTGGAAGGTATAGGGGCAGCAAAGGCCAAGGTCCTTCTAACGGGTATCTAAAGTACTGCAGCAGAGCTTCAAAGTTTGAGATCAAATTTTGTCAGAAATCACAGCATGACCGATTTGATCACATTTGCCATAAAAACGAAAAAGAAACAAACCGACATATTGCATGGATCTGACAAGCTGCTTTGACTCGGGCTTTGAGGACTAAACTTACTTTCTATCCAAATTTCTTTAATTGAATCCACCAGGGACCAAACTGGACTGAATTTTTTTTTTACCTAACGTAAATAAGGTTTGTGCTTCAAAACCTTATTTACGTTAAATAAAAAAAAAAATTCAACGTGCAGTTTCTTGATTTCTGTATTGCAGTACGATATGCTGACTATTCAAACTTCAAAGTCATTTGTGAGCCGTCTCCGTTAGGAATGAGAAATCCCTTCTCTATGAGGTCTTCCACGAACTCAAACTCGATGATTTTGTCTCCAAGGTCCTTGGGGACTGTGCCTCGCGAGAGTGCCAAGGCTGACACGTGTATCAGAGAAACGTCCTGCAAGCGATGAAATAATGTTTTTATTGCAACATTTATTGACAAAACATGGTGACGGCACACTCAAGTTTTAAACTTATATTCATGCCGCCACCAACACATAAGGCAATACAATTGATACATAGCAAAGCACAAATTTACATAGTAATTAAATCATGAACAAGAGGCCAAATATTTCCAAAGACTGATTGGACTGACATGTTGAAATATTATAAGTATTAAAATGGTGTCTGTGGTTTTCTTTATAAAAATTAGGCCTATCTTTCTTTCTATTTCTAGGGCATACACAAACTACATCCTTTACTTTGTGTCAGTTCGAGCCAGTTTGATAACAATATGCCTACATTTTGACAAAGAAACAAGCAAATTGTTAATCGTGCACACGTGGATTATAATAAATGTATGTCTGTAAATGATTGTCTCTAAATCATAAAGAGGACTACACAGTTTCAACACATTTATATTTAACATTTGACTTCATAGTACTTTTTATTGTAAATTCCCAACAATACAGGCTTCAATAAGATGGTGTATGAATAAAGTTTCAAACTTTCTTCTTTTTCTTCTTTCATTTGAGGCAGCCGCCTTCAACAAGCTGAAGATTCTGCTACCTTTAGTGGCTAGTACGAGATGGGGTTCGCCAGGCCTCCATCCAGGTGATTTGTAGTTATTTAGACAGTTTTGTACCATCGCAAACCGGGGCATGCCCCTACTCTTTTTCGAAAGGTGTGGTGGGTTCTTTTACGTGCGCGGGGTATGGCTCTCCCCAAACACGGGACCTCCATTTAACGTCCTATCCGAGGGACGTCCCTAACCGAGGCTAGGTACTCATTTACACCTGAGTGAAGTGAGGAAAGTCGTGTAAAGTGCCTTTCACAAGGTCGGTGACCGGGGTGGGGATCGAACCCAGGACCTCTAGGTCCTGAGCCGAAAGCGCCACCGCTGCGCCACACGACCCCAACTTTTCTTTTGAAAATACAGTTGTTTACAACGATTAATATATATATTCAGTTTTTCCTGTGTCAAAGTCCAGAGGCCTTTTGCAAATATGTTTTTTTTTTACCTCGACAGTGTTGTAATGAAATATAATTACCTCGTCATCTGCAGTGATGTTGCCTCTAGCAAGTACCTGTGCTACCTGCGATAGCGCGGCGTCTGTCGCAATCTGGAACAGGAGCGCTTCAGGAAACAGCATGAATAGGACTGAAAACAACAAATGGAAGGTTATTTCAGGAAAGTGAACAAAACAATCCTCGGCTTCTAGTTCCTCTCGACCTCTAATTCCAGCTAATTCCCGGCCAGATTCTGAGACCTTCGCATTCACCCCATTTCCCCTATCTGGCCTTTTAACCTCCTGCCATTCTGCCTGTCATTCTGTATCCCCCACCCACGTGCTGTCAACCTGTATTATGTCCGGAAAACATACACACAAACCCACCCAAAACAATACCTCCGTGCCCGGAGGTAAAATACATACGGGCCTTCCCTAGCATTCCGAAAAAGCTCGGCTCTTCCTCCTTGCGGCACAGAGTAGCCAGAAACACGTCATAGGTCCCGGTCGTGTTGGCTCGCACGAACATGAAGTATCTGTAGCGAAGATAAATTCCCAGTTGCATTGCAGAAGGGCAAAAGCTATTTAATTCAATTACATGTGAAATAGATATTACATTACCCAAGATAAGAACATGCAAGACGTAGGCTTCCAATTTACACTTAGATATATCGGCAGGACAAGGTACCAAGATGACAACAGCTTAGACGGGCTTCGGGTATTTCTCACATGAACGCACCGAAGCGAGAACGCACCGAATGCGGAAGTAAATATGAACAAGGGTGAAGGATTAATCAATTGTGTAGTGTAGACATAGGTCGGTGGGTGGAACCCCAATGGATGCTTTTACTGAGTTTCTGTGTACAGATTGTGGCCATTCCTAGTGGAAAACAATTGAATCAACAATTGAATCACATTCGGTGAAATAGATATTGCATTATCCAAGATCAAGTGCATGCGAAACCTACTGGCTTTCAATTTCCTTCCGAAATGTCCGGACTCTATTATAGTCTATAATATCCACGTACAAGAGTACACGTAAACTTGCCTGTAGAACACACGTTTGGACCCCTCATGATTTCCGCCTTTGTAAACATGCACTTCCCCGTTACAGCGCATCTTCTTCACTAACTCAAGCCGGGTCTGAGTGAAAAAAGGTATCTTGACTGTAACATTTGCAGAGATATTCTTTTTTTATTCCTTTGTTGGATGAAATATGAATAGACTGATAACAATAGCAAAGCAAGGTAAGTGTGTAAACAGCTAGCCTACTACAAAATGCAAGCGGTAGGATATAGTAAGGACGGAATAGAGAGGCAAGGTACACAACAACTGTACACACTGTCACACAGAGGAAACTATTGTGTGGATGTTTGACAGGTGTATATATAGATACATATAGATCTGTCCGCTCTCACCGTGGGAGCGACTGTGGGAACGGACGTAAACTACTAGTAACCAGGATGGTACCCAGGCTAATTGTATGTAGTACACTGACAGTTACCAGTACGGAAGTATTGCTTTGGGTGGCTGAGCTGTGAGTTTGTTTAGCTATTGTTCAGATCGGTCAGGCTGACAGCACGTGGGTGGGAAAGATTGACAGGAGAAAGTGTCAGTCAGACACAGGATATGGAGGGAAATGAAGTCTGAAATCTCAGATTTCCTTTATCCGTTTAATATATACTATACCTTCACATCTTTCTTGAAATCAGAACAGGCACCGTCCACACCTTCAGCAACAGCTACAAGATGTTCCCTCCTCACGTCTGTACATGTCTTGATCCTGAAATCCTTGGTCATAGACTGCCATCCGTGTGAGCGTAAGGTCTTTGTGACGATGAAAATGAAAATGAAAACCGAAAGGTGGATAACATTACCCCGTTGGTTTCAAAATAACGCTGTATCCATGTATTTTTTTTTACCTTCCATCATTCCTACTCCCCTCCCTAAAAATAACACACACAAACACATAGGCACAAGCACACATACATACAAACACAAACACACACACTTAACACGCAATCAAACACAGACACACCACACATGCACACACTCGCACAAACACAACACAAACACACACACACTCTCACACAAACACACACACAAACTCACAAACACACACAAACACACACACACATTTACACACAAACACACACACACACACACATACACTTCAGCTCACGCACACGCACAGACGAAGTACGGTACACACACAACGTTAGACAAGTTGTTGATTGTTATCCAGTTAACCAAGTACGTGTAACGTGTAAACCAAAATAAAAATTGACTTTTCTTAGCAACCATTGGGAAGGGCGGAAATTCAGTCACTTGCTTTACCAAATTCAACTGATGATGCTACAAACAACACAGTATTGTCTAATTTTCCTCAAAATATCCAGCTAGTTATGAAAAAAAGGTTCACAGTTATCTAAACCTAATTTGCATACTTCGTCATTCGAGGCGTGAAGTGGACAAGGTCTTTAAATCTGCTCATACCGTGTTCAACAGTTGGCGTTCTCTCTCTGGAAATCTCTTGATTTTGCCGGACAACGACGCTTCTCTCACTGCCGGCGAGTATGTTGCCATGTTCGATGACTAAATGCGAGGAAAAGTAGGTAAAAAGGCTTGTGAAGACCGTCCTCCGTAACAGGACTGATACTATAGGCAGAGTAGAACGGGAATCCCCCCCTGACTCATTGTTGACATTGTCAGATTGCCCTCTGACCTTTAGGTGAAATCGTTATACAGTGTACTCTTATACAATATGCTTTGTAAAATGATCAACAATTTATTATATTAACCCATGCTGTTGTCAAAGTCGGTGGCCCTGGCCAAGGGTCCAGGTAAGGTAAGGTAATGCTGTTGAAAACAGTTGTTCATTCAAGAGTTGTTTGCTAAACATGATCTGAAACTAAAGTCTCAAATGTGCATGGATCATTTGCAATATAAAGAAACGTGGCTTCTTACCTCTTCCCCACAGTTACCGGTAGTGACGTAGTTTCTATATCGATGAGTCATTTACTACTAAGAATAAACGGGAATTTTTACCTGTCCCCCACATTTTCGGTGACGTAGTGTCTGCTAATGAGTCATTTACCATAGATAAACGGGACTTTTTGAAAATTTCCAAGTAGTTGTGGCGTAGTCTGACGATTGTAAGCATTACACCCTCGGCCGTCTTTCTCGCACTGGCAGTGACTTTTCTGTGGGCTACAGTTCTGTGCAGAACGCTGATTTTGAGGTAGGAAACTCTCACAGGGTTCAATGCATTGATTAATCGTTCAGTAGTTAACCCCGCTTAATATATAGACCATTGCCAGTGATTGGTTCTGTCACAGCCTGCCTGATCAAAACTCAATTTAGATTTTGACAATGCACCTAGGAAAAATAGTCTAGAGTTACTGGTAGTACGGCTTCTTTCCACAGGACAGCGACCTTTTAGCGAACCCCCAAAGGCCCCTTAACACAGTCCTTAACAAATTCTGAACCTTAGATTGGGTATCGGTTTTGAGGTACTTTAATAGTAGTTGCCCGGTATTAGGCTATGTTGAAATCTCAGTCTACAACGCGGAGGGTTTGGGTGGGAAAATCCCCTGAAGCTGAGCGGAACGTTTGACTGCCATGGTTGTATTTTGTAACAGTTGATATCCAAACAGATCTATTAGTATCTGACTCAGTGCTTTGCCCATGTTTTTGATACATTTAGTACGCCTTTAAGTGAAAATGAAAGTAGCAGTAGTCTAAGGATGACTTAGAAAAGTTGGGCTTACGTAGAAGCAACTCGGTATAAGAAGCCAAACTTTGAATGATTAGCAGATGGAAAATGAAACCTTTCACGGTGAGTGATATGTGTGGGTGGGTGAAACAAGACACCGTGAGTTTCACTTCCCTATAGAAAACTGCTATAAGCTTGTGTTTCTTGTGTTTGTGTGTGTTTTGCCACGTTAGAGGGTGTGCATTGTATGTATATGATGTACATGTTTGGTAAGTATTTGAATTTGACTGAATTTGTGTTTGTGTATGCGCGTTTGTCAGTGTGTGTGCGCGCGCGCGTTTGCGTAACTCTGATCTATCTGATAATGATGAATTTTTAGATCCTAAAATCATTCTCAAAGAATTTATTTATAAGGTTTACGGAAAAACCTGGGTGCCTGATAGGTCAGGCTAGCTGGCATGTCCACCAGGCCAGGCTAGCATGGGGGGTAGCCTGTGTATACAAGCTCTCGGCTGGAGGTTAATGACCCCCACCCCATAGCAACCATCTCTGTTGGGTGCCGCACCGTCTGAGGGCAGTTCGTGACGTTTGCATTTCATTAACCATATATGGCGGACCAGGGCCGTCGACAGTCCGCCAGCTTTACGCGTGCTTGACATCAAGCTTTTGGGGGGCGGCAACCTAGGGCGGCGGCCGCCAGGAGCGCGATTGTCAGGCTACTCAGATTTCCCCCATTTATATCCTCACGAAAGATAAGACATCCAAACAGCAGGGGTACCGTACGTACCAGTGTATTGGGTGCAATGTCCATGCTTTCTGCTAGAGGGCCTAACTGTTTGGATTTCTTATTTTTCGTGAGGATATGAATGGGGGGATCTGAGTAGCCCGACGTGCTAGCCTGGCCTGGGGACATGCCAGCTAGCCTGGTCTGGCAGGTGTCCAGTTTTCTCCGTAAACCTCTATATATACACTGACCAAGACACCACTTGTGTCATAGCATGCATATGTTACATGCAATGACGCCGTCGAAAACACATTAGAACGTCAGCATACCAGTGGAGGTGAAAGGTAAAAGGCGGTTAAATTCAGGAAAAACATAAGGAGCCACACTGAAAACGAAAATGAAACCATGATTGTGAGTCATACTACTAGCTAGTTGCACTTCCCTTTGGAAAAGTGGTTGTGCTTGCGGTTTGTGTGTATGCCTGTCTGTGTATGTGGCTATGTGTGTGTATGTACATGTGTGTGTGTGTGTGTGTGTGTGTGTGTGTGTGTGTGTGTGTGTGAGTGAGTGTTTGAATATATGGACTAGTCATTTTACAATCGATTGTCCATCAATACACTGCAGCACTGTACCATTAGCGATAACAACTATTATATGTTTTCTTTAAACGAACAAGCAACCATGGCACTCGTGGAGCAACAGACTACCGCAACACTGACCGGAAAGATCAAGCGCTTTGACGAGGAGGTTCGTTTGACAATCAAAACGGTAAGGAAGTCGATGCTTTAATTCATTTCTACTCACTCGCTCACTCTCTCACTCGCTCACTCTCTCACTCTCTCACTCACTCACTCACTCACTCACTCACTCAATCTCCCAATCACTCACCCACTCACTCATTCACTAACTCAATCTCCCACTCACTCATGATCACTCACCAACCCACCCACTGACTGACTGATTCACTCACTCACTCACCCACTCAATCTCCCACTGATTCACTCACTCACTCACTCACTCACTCACGCACTCACTCACTCACTCACTCACTCACGCACTCACTCACTCACGCACTCACTCACTCACTCACGCACTCACTCACTCACTCACTCACCAACTCATTCACTCACTCACTCACACACACACTCACTCAATCACTCACCCACTCACTCACACACTCACTCACTCACTCACTCACTCACCCACTCACTCACCCACCCACCCACTAACTCACTCACTCACTCACCCACTAACTCACTCACTCACACACACTCACTCAATCACTCACTCACTCACCCACTCACTCACCCACTCACTCACTCACTCACTCACTCACTCACGCACACACTCACTCACTCACTCACTCACACACACACTCACTCAATCACTCACTCACCCACTCACTCACCCACTCACTCACCCACTCACTCACTCACTCACTCACACACTCACTCACTCACTCACTCAATCACTCACTCACTCACTCAATCACTCATACATCCACCACTGGGGCCACTGAAAAATATCCGGTTTCCAGACCGACTCTTACCCTAGTAACCTTTTAGTTGGGGAGGACGGGGGGGGGTGCAATTTTAGGCCATAAAATTTTATAACTGAATCAAGATTTTTTCACAACCATTTATTTTACATGACCGTCTGTCATTTTCATCTGGGCTAATGATTTGACTGTTTTACTGCGTAGTGCAGCAAAACAAATGAATAAATGGTTGAGAACAAAAAGAACATGTCTTAAACCAGTATTCCATCATTTACCAACCTGATGAAATTATTCTTTCATCCATGTTCAGAAGCAAAATACGATTGAGTACATTGGGTGAAATATTTATGAAATAAAGACTAAGCTTTAACTTCCAACACTTAGATACAGAATTGGGACTTAACAAGGTTGATGGAGTCAACCAAAAATTGGGTAAAAATGGGGTAAGTCCCAATTCTGTATCAAAGTGTTGGAAGTTAGAGCTTAGTCTTTATTTCATAACGATTTGTACCAACACAGATGAACTTTCATACTGGGTGAAATATTTGTCCATTCCTTCCCTCGCGCAAACGGAAGGACGGGTACTGGAGCTGATTACGAAATTCAAAGAAATAGAGTAGACAATTCCTGTATACCGACCCTATTTTTCACGGGATTAAAACTCAAATAAAAAACTTCCCCCTAAGCCTGGACACACTACACAAAGGTGATTTTCTTGTTTTCATGTTCCAGGCGCTGAAACAATGTGACTGGCAGTCCCTGACTAAGGAGTTTAGTCTCGAGTCCTACACACAGTTGGACAGGGAAGGGCTAGACCTGATCGTAGACTGTGTGGACGAGAGTTTTGCTGACTTCAGGAAGGATGTCCAGGTGAGATCATATTATCTGTCCATGTGACTAGAATAATGCATTCCGTTCATCAGATATGGATTGATAAATATGCACTACTAAAGTGAAACACAATGCTGTGAAACGTCGATGATCCATCTAATACGATATGCCAAAAAGCAGTTACTCAAGCAACTGGATATGATTTTGGAAACGGTCAGACGTTTCAGCTAGTATTCACTAGCTTTCGTCAGTGGCTGAGAGACCAGAGGAGAAAGTTATGCAGGTTTATATGCACAAACTATTGATTGATATGCAAATAAAGTGAAGAAAAATTTTTGGGAAGTCGAAAAGGGGAACAAAAGTCAGTCAAAATTTTGAGTTGGAGAAAAGTTTAAGTTTTTCATAAAAGTCAGACAAGTCTAGCTGAAACGTCTGACCGTTTCCAAAGTTGCTTGAGTAACTAGCGCTTTTTGGCGTACAATGCTGTGAAAGATGTGCTCTCACTAGCAGTTTGATGGAAAACTACAAGGAGAAAATCAAATTGTGCAAATGTGGACATCAGTTGGAATAATTTATGAGGAAAATCTAAAATTCCAGTAAGAATCTAAAATTGATAGGTGTATGTAAACTATGGCAAGTTGAAACATGAACAGATACGAATGCTACAAATTGGCATAATTGATACGTAAATGCTATGATGAATTATCGGTAAATGAAGTTCCCTTCATTGTGCCATGTGTAAGTTAGTTACAAATTAATTTTCACCCTGACTTGTTACCTTCCAAAAGGCTCGAGTGAATGTGGCAAAGAGGATGCATGCCAGTGGGCGGGCAGACGTCTACAAGGGCAAAAACCAGCAAGGTTTCCACGATAAATTCTACAGGTCAGTAGTTATCTTTTTCTTAGGCCACACCGCCTTAATTTTATGGATGACATCCGCGCGCGCATTGATTTTCGCCTATTCTAAAAAAAAAAAAAGATCACGTCCTCCGAGGCTCTGGCCTGGCTCTAGGCCTGGGTAGTCCAAGGTAGTTAGCGATAATACGGAGCCGGTGGTAACTCTGGAGGATGGCACCCAGGCTGCCGAAGCTCCACGACTCAAGAACTAAGTACATACGTACAGTGCCAATTCATAATATCCGCAAAAAGCCAGCATGTGCCGGCTTGTCGTATACGTCACTATGTACTGCCGCAAATTCACAATACATGAGCTTTGCATTCCTGTGCTTTAGTAGCATTTTTATTTTGGGCCGGAATTTTTTTATTCGCCCGCGAGCACTAGTTTGGTGGTCTTCAGAGGATATCATCCATAAAATTAAGTCGGTGTGGCCTTACTTGTCCCAGTACCTGAAATGTTTTTCTGTACCCGGAAGTATTGTATTGAGTGGCAAAGCTGTACAAGGTGTGTGCATCTTTGTCCGAACAGATCAGGTTAACAGCACATGGGTGGGGAGGGATTGATAGGCACAATAACAGGAGGTCAAACGCCAGACACAGAAAATGTATGCCCTTGGAGGCCAGGAAAACTCTACAAATCCTGAAATCTGATAGCTCCAATTTCTTGTTTTGTCCTTATACCGCTGGCTCTGTCATCTAATCATTGAATTAATTATTGAGTCATCCATACGCCATTCACTCCCAATCTAGGTACTACCTGTTTGTGCGTGCCAACACGAACGAAACCTACGACGTCTTCCTGGCTTACGTTTGCCGCAAGGAGGAGTTTGACTTCTTCTTGGCCGTCAAGAAGTGTATCGCAGGTGAGGAATCATTACTTAAATAACAGCGACAGTCGTTTGAATGTTTTTTTTTTAATAATCCAATCAGGTTGATTGAAACTACAAATGTTGTGATCATAACAATCAGTGAACATGTATTTAGTTTTTAGGATTTGAGGATTCCAGCCTTCCTAGCTTTAGTACGCATCCAAGCTAACGGGATCTCTTTATATTGCATTGTCACAAGTTTAGTTCTATTCTAATGCCATCTGTGACTACTCTCTAAGCAGAGGTGTTTTAGCCGTTTTTATCTGACTTTTTTGTACATGTGCAGGTATCTTAAGTTTCTTTTTTTGCGCCAGCCTTCGGATGGCGTATTAGATACTGCTCTGCCAATGTTGTCGCCTTGCCAATTTGATGCTCTAGTTTTGAGTTTTGCACTCTCCAAGCAGATCTTTAGGTGGTGGTCTTACAGTCACCAAAGGATATCTGCTTGGGGATTATTTTGTGACGTGATTACCTCTGCTTGACAGGGACCGCGAATGTGATGTCAAGCTTGCCAGCCATAGTCTGGAAGAAGATTGCAGGTGATTCTAAAGCAGCCAATGCTATCGTAGACGGTGTCCTTGGGGACGACTCCAAGGTACGGGTATAACATCTACACATACGTTTCAATCAATCATCAACTAATGAAAACTTTATATCACAGTTGGATAATATAAGCAACCCAACATGTTCAGAGTACGGTTAAGCATTAGAGCATTAGAACAGTGTGTTTCTGTAAGTGTGCGTGTGTGTGTGTGTGTGTGTTTGTATGTGTGTGTATCACGATGTGTTAGTGTGTATTTGAATACAGTCATGTATGTATGTGTGTGTGCCTGTGTTTGTATGTAACAGTTGTGTGTGTGTGTGTGTATGTGTGCGAGTGTGTGTATATGTGTGTGTGTGTGTGTGCGCGCGCGCATGTGTGTGCGCGCGTGTATGTGTGTGTGTGCGCGCGCGTGTATGTATGTGTGTGCGCGCGTATGTGTCTTTGTGTGTGTGTGTGTGTGTGCGCGCGTGTTTGTGAGTGTGTGCGCGTGTGTATTTGTGTGTGTGTGTTTGTGTGTGTGTGTGTGTGAGAGAGAGAGAGAGAGAGAGAGAGAGAACTCTCAATAAAAGAAAAAAATATCCTACAGATGGACATTCTTTTTCCCCCTAACTTCAGGCTGTCACTGCCCCGAAGTATGGCGGGATCCCAAACGACCTGGGCGACAAGCTGATGGAGTTTGAGTTCGTGGAGAGTCTGATCGAGCGGGGGACTCTGGTTCCTGAGGGGGAGGACGGACGCCAGTTCAAACTTGTCATCTGTTAAGCATAGACGTTAGGAACATTGCATAAAAAGTGGTGTCCGTCGATGCCTAAACTCCGAAGTAGCAAAAACGAATAACAAAATTCCATAACCAGCATTTTCTACCCTACAAAACCAGAGTAAGTTCCACTGTGGATATGTGAAACACTTTTGTCATTTATTGCAAAACGATTTAGCAATTTTCTATTGTTTAAAAGTATATCGTAAGGAAAAATAGTGGTATTTTTAATCTTAACCCAGGCATTTTAGCAGCTTAGTATGGTACTGAGTCTACATGGAATTCCTTGTCGGCAAGGGTGTACGGACGCTAAAGTACACAACATTCTGTAGTACTTTATACACTACATCTATTTGTCTTTTTTTCTAAAGATGGACTGATTTGTATCAGCAGCAGGCCTGGGATGCTAGAATTGAATATGGATGAACACTGTAATTTCCCGAGTCCACATTATACTGGTATTAGAAGTTTGTGTCAGTTGGATAGGCTATATGATAATAACGTTAATGCCCCGCCTTATCCTCGGTGTACATGGTGATATTATAATCCCTGGTCAGGTGCTATAGCAAACCTCATAAACCAAACATACAATCATGTCTTTTATCAAACTTTGTGATGAACAAAACAATCATGTAAATCAAACTTAACTTCACCCGTATTACTAGCTTATTATTACGGCCTCAGTAAAAACCTACTTCACATAAATCCTTACAGTAACTGTTGTTTGTGTACAGGTGAGTTCTTACATGGAGAATATCCCAACCATATCATATTCCTGTATTTCGTTATATTCATTTTGATTTCAAAAGTGACTGGCGTAATACATTTCCAATAGAGAGACACTTTTGGTTTTTTTTATTCCCTTACGGGCGCAAATGACCTCATGGCCCGGCGGTTGTCCACCCAACAGAGACCTCTCACCTACATGCGTCGGCCATGCTTCTCTTTTTTTGACACCGGGAAGAGAACACAGTGCTGCAGCATGAAGAACAAGACAAACAGAATGGACAGGGCAGCCAGCCCAAACTTAATGAAGTCTCCAAACAGGGTGGTCCAGTCATCTGGGGGGGGGGGATGTTACAGGGGTACGTGTTAAGGGTCTTGAATACATTCTATGAAACAAGGCAATCAGAGATGGCAGACTTCGTCCAAGTTTGTATAGGGACATGGACACCAGTCTTGTTGGTGTGGCATCCAGCACCAAGGACAGGGACACCAGTCTTGTTGGTGTGGCATTCAGCACCAGGCACAGGGACACCAGTCTTGTTGGTGTGGCATTCAGGTACAGGGACACCAGTCTTGTTGGTGTGGCATTCAGCACCAAGGACACCAGTTTAGTAGGTGTGGCATTCAGGGACAGGGACACCAGTCTTGTTGGTGTGGCATTCAGCACCAAGGACAGGGACACCAGTCTTGTTGGTGTGGCATTCAGCACCACTGACACCAGTGTTGTTGGTGTGGCATTCAGGGACAGGGACACCAGTCTTGTTGGTGTGTCATTCCGCACTAAGGACACCAGTCATGTTGGTGTGTCATTCAGCACCAGGGACAGGGACACCAGTCTTGTAGGTGTGTCATTCCGCACCAGGGACAGGGACACCAGTCTTGTTGGTGTGTCATTCCGCACCAGGGACAGGGACACCAGTCTTGTTGGTGTGTCATTCCGCACCAAGGACACCAGTCTTGTTGGTGTGTCATTCAACATCAGGGACAGGGACACCAGTCTTGTTGGTGTGTCATTCAACATCAGGGGCAGGGACACCAGTCTTGTTGGTGTGTCATTCCGCACCAAGGACACCAGTCTTGTTGGTGTGTCATTCAACATCAGGGACAGGGACACCAGTCTTGTTGGTGTGTCATTCAACATCAGGGGCAGGGACACCAGTCTTGTTGGTGTGTCATTCAACATCAGGGGCAGGTTAAGACACCTTTTGGCAGGTTGTAGATAGTTGACCGCCACGTGAGATCACACTTCTCCTCCTCAAGCAGTTGTAGCATGTGTCCTTGTTGCAGTAGGTTCTTTTGATGCTGACTCCACACATCATGGCGCATGTCAGCCACCTGTTGTTTGATGTGTTTGCGTACTGAAGGCCATTCTAAGTCTTTTGCCGCGCAGGTGGCTTGTTGGTGGATGGTGTGGCAGGTTTTAATACCCCGTTTCTGTATTTATTGATGTACAAAATATCAACCAGTCCACATGCACTCATACTCACCAAGGACTCCAATTGTTGCTCAGAGGTGATGTCACCTGCTGCAGTTCTCCTCCCAGTCAGACTGTGGCGCTGTGGGGCATGCGGTGACAGTTTGGAGGCTGTGGGATACAAAATAGAGCAGGTTGAATAAGTATGCAGTATAGCTTCAAGGAAAAAACTTTTGTTGCAGATTGGTTAAGACTTGAGAAGTAGAAGGTGATCAAAATCAATGTAAGGTATGTCCATACTGTTTCTGCCTGAAAAAATAAAGTTGAATGAAGGAAAAAGAAGAAATCATTTCAAATAGTTCCGTAAGATCCTTCCTGGTCCATCTTATGTCAAAGGGCTGAAAAACAGAGCTCAGATTAGAACAGACATAAACGTAAACACAAAGATTACAAACTCTTACCAGTCCTCTCAGAGGAGCGGTTCATGGCAGCTTCTCGCTTCAGCCGCTGGGCGGCACGGTAGTCTGCGTCCTCCACGGTGATGTATACATCAGGTTCAGGATACCTCTGGAGCCGCGACTTCCCCACTACTGTCACCTCCTGCTCATGGCGGGCATAGTGATTCCGCGCTCCCACCAGGCTGGGCTGTACAGGCACTCTACGGGCTGCGGACAGGTCCTCCCCGAACATGGCGGTAGTGTACGCCGCTCGGAGCAGCTGCTCTTCATCTTGAAAGGCACGGCGTTGTGGCGCTCCTGCTCCAGTTGGTAGACTTTCTCCATCGCAGTGACTTTTGTTCCCCTTCTCTTGGCCGGTAGCTTTGAGGAGCTGAGGTCCTCGCCAAACATTTCTGAAATTTCTGGTAGCAGATCCTGTCGGCATGGTCTTCCAGGGCTCAGCCCAGCTCTTCAAATGTAGGCGATGCTCTCGAATACCTTTAGACACACAAAAAAGAAAAGGATGTATGAAATTAAGTACAATTAACAATTTATACGACTACAGAATCTTAGAATTATGATAACCTTAAACCTCACTATATAATTCAATGTTTAATCACATGAGAAATGGGCTAAAGGTTCTTCACAGGAGTCAGAATATGGGATCTTTACACACTGTGATGAAATATTTTTGCACTGGATGTACCTGTTTAAAGATTTTTTTTGTTGAAATAGTAACTCAAATGATAAAAGAAACTTGCAAAGTCCTAATCCCTTCTGGACCAAGGCACGATGACGATTACTGCTGGATGTTTTCTCAAGCTTGAAACACTGAAACAAACCTCTGAAATATCCATGCGTCTGTGAAAACAGAGTCCTTTGATGACTTCTGACATTGTCCGACAAGATAGAAAATAAAAACAGAAATACGAACATGCCATGACTCTTCTTCATTATGGTGGGATTGTAAATTTTGTACGTTGTGATATCTTTTTTACATTTCCAGACAGATAGGAGGCTCGAGAGGAGACGACCATTTTAAAGGACTCCTTTTAATTGTATAAATGTATTAGGCTGTATGATTTTATTCTTATTTATTGGTTTATTTGTATTAGCAACAACATATCTCGCAGCCTTGTTTTAAGAGGGCTGAATTCCGATGTTTGTTTACAACATACATAATTAATTAATGCAAATTACAATTAGGCCACACCAATTTAATTTCTTGGTTAACGGAGTTTTCTAGAAAAATGATGGAGCGGGCCGGGCGGGCGAAAAAAAAAGAAAATAAAAACAGGCCTAGGCATCCTCTTATGCGCCAAAATGGTACGATAGGAGCCATGAAGTCAACACACCAGGCTCGTTCAAAATTTAAACAGTGAATTTTGAACTTTGAATGACACCATTGCATTGGAAGATGGAATAACTGTAACAACTAGGATAAAAAGGACTGTTTTCAACTGTTCAGGGCAAAATATGAGCATTTTGCAGTTGATTCTGAATCTTTATTTTTATTTGCAAATCTGAAAAAAAATGAAGCGGCGAATCCGTTAACCAAGAAATTAAATTGGTGTGGCCTTAGGTCGGAATCTACAGGTTGATGTAGTATCACTTTGGTTCAACGAATTTAGATATTTGCAATAATGACTTATATCACTTAAGTTTTTAACATATATGTGGAATAATAGTCATCATAAATGAATAAATCATCATCATTATCATGATAAGTCAAAGTTGACTTATCAAAGGCTAACAGGAATATAGATTCCTCTTTACAATGTACTTGTCAAGTATCTGAAGTGGGAAAACTTACTTAACCCTAAACAGTACACCTGGGGTCCGCGCGGACCCCAGTACTATATATTCTGTAATATCTTTTTTGTTTCTAAAGATTTTTTTCTGAAATTTTAGGTAATTGTTACCCACAAAGTTGTCTCTCAATACAGTGCAGAAAACTCCGTTTCTACCATTTATAAAAAAAAATTATATCTGTAATTTTCGTTTTGGGGTCCGCGCGGACCCCAGCCGGCTTTCGATCATAATGGATACACTGGCGTTCTTATACATTACCTTATTTCCGTTTTTATATGTTTTTATGCACTCATCGTATGTCTACCAAGTTTTCAGAGAATGGTGTAGTAAAAGAATTAAATTTTAATAACTTTGGTGTAATTATGACGTCATATGACGTCAGAGCTAATAATATAGTCCGCCATATTAGATTTTGACCAATGACGTCATCAAATTAGCATATTCTATGCATATTAAATGATTTATCTTATATTTAATTATGTAAGATGTTATTAATGTTGGAAAAGAAGTGTAATTTAATATAAAACTCAGAAAATTTTTATGTTTAAACCAAAATTACTTCTATTTTCAAAAAAATAGCCCGTTGCCATGGCAACACAAAAAAACATCAACTTACTAGTATTAAACTAATATGAACTTTTTTCCAGAGACATTTTAGGAAAGGTCTCCAAATTTGATACTTCTAGCGCAAGCCGTTTAGCCGCTATCTGAGATCAAAGTTGGGCCTCAAAAGCCCCTTCAGTCTGAAATGGGTTTAAAAATCGGGTATTTCTTCTTGTCTTCTTTTCTTCACCAAAAAATAGAAAAAGTTCAAAATGTATGATTTTTGTATGTAATGTGGACACAGAGGTTCCCACATCAGTTTGCAAAACAATTGAGCTGGTAGCATGTTGATAATTTTTAAAAATTAGCAAAAAACTGTTCTGGGGTCCGCGCGGACCCCAGGTGTACAGATTAATCAGTCCGGGAAGGTGTACTGTTGAGGGTTAAAACATGACCGAAAAGTATGCGCCTTAGTGTACTATAGGCAGATTCAGGGCCAGGCTCAATGCTTTTCACTGACCTGAAAACACTTGTGTGTAAAATTATGCCCCACAGCCTCTATAACCACCTTTAAGAAATTAATCCTAGTTTACTATCTCTCTCTTACCAACAACAGATTCGATCCCAACAATATATGCACCTGGCTTACTCAATGTCCTTGTCGCAAGTGTTCTCCATTCTAATCACCCCAATCAGATATCTTGTTATTATTATCATGATTTATTTATTTATTTGAATTATTTTGCTAGGTACCTTTTCAAATCAAATGTTATTACTAATTGATATCATTACCATGATATTAGCATCGTTTTTGTTAAATTAAACTGATATTCCTACTGTTGCTCGACCTGTTATGTATTATTTATTACTTATCGAATGATCTAGATCTATTATTTATCGTTGGCTTTTCGTTCTATTTACTTCAACGTTCATTATATAATTTGTTAATTCTTTGTCATCATCCTTGTATCAAGGGTTGTTATGACTTTTTTGTTATTGTTTATTTTGATTATTATTTATGTAATCCTTATCAGTTTATTTTGGTGGGGGTTTTTAAAAAGGAGTAAACTATGTTCCTGTTACCCCTATCCATTTACACATTTGTGGTAATAAAGTTGTAATAAATAAAACACAATCCCGCACACCGTGCATCTGCTTGGAGACCAACGATCAATGGTATATGTCATTGATTAACTTAAAGTTTACTCACTCTCCTGTTGGGGTCATATGACGCTGACCAGGAAAAGGTCAACGAGCTCTAGAACTTTTCAAGGGACTTAAAATAGTTACTACGTCATTTGGCTTGCTTACCTCCTTACAGTTTTTCTCTTTCCCCGCAACAGCACATAGAAATTATGAAAATCGTCGCAATCGGTGAGAATATACATTCTGATATTATCTCTTTTTTACCTAGAAGCATATCTATTACGTTGGACTCTTTCTAGTAGACAGAAACATGTTAGTTGCTCATGTTATGTTGTTATTCATAATTGTTGTTTCAGTTAGGATTATTAAGACGTCGTTTATTTTAGGCTATGAAGATTTACGACATTTGTGGAAGAGTTGACATAACAGGTTACTATCACCTCTTCAAGATGTCAAACCTGAGACCAGACTGTAAGGTTTGAACCACTCACACCGGGAACACGGCCATTTGTGTATAACAAGCGTCTATACCTCATGTTATTGAACGCTAGTTATCTTCCCCAAGAGGTACTATGTTTTCGGTGTGGTGTGTGTTTTTGTGGACAGCACATTAACTGGGGGATCGGTGGGTATTTATGATGTTTGCATGCAACACGAAGGGACTTTTTGATTATGGTCCCCCTTACAGCTTCCTATAGTACTGCAAAAGAACATGTTCTGGTCATGATTTCTAACACATGTGTAAACCTGACAATGTCATGCAGTGTATTTAAGGTGTATCTCCAGTTGCTTTAAAATGTCAGAGAGAAGAATTCTTCAAGACCTAGATTAGATAGAACGTCTTTTCTGACTGTAGTTTTTAAGACTTTTACGTTATTCTTATATCCCATATATCATGTTATACTCAAACTCAGTATGATATAACGTTACATGTAACATCGTACTCTGATGTATGCATTTAGCCCCATGGGGATGAACATGCAGATAAAGATTCATTATCATAAAACATAGCGTTCCTGTTGGGAGTGTGTGCGGTGGTGGTGGAGGGATGTTGTCTGCCCAAACAGTTTGAGTGCGTCGTTGGTGTCCAGAACGCCACTTTCAGGGCCGGGAAGCTAGGTAAGGTTAGAAGCCTTCTTGGGTCATGTCTATTAATTAAGATCCAACCCCAATACTAGAAAGGTCGACAAATTGGTTGGGAGCAAATACAGCATATTTCAGTCCATCTCCCTCCCACGCAAAAGTAGACTATTCCAAACTTACCCCAGTGCAAAACTGGCAAAGGTTCTCAAATAAAAGAATTAAATAGTAGCTATGTAATTGAGAACAAAGATGCAAGAACAAGCACTTTGAATCTCGAAAGCTTTACTAATCTTATTACAGGTATGCAAATACTAACAATGATGAGGTTGTAATACCAGGGATCAGGATTCAAAAGTCCATTTTTTGTCGAAAAATGTCCAAAAAAAAAACTTCTTTAAAATTTTTCAAAGGCATGTATTAAAAAAAATGAAAAACAAGTATGATGTTTTTAAAAAAACACAGGCGACGATTTTGTGTTTAACTGTTCCGTTCTTTATAAATCGTTTTTTTTTTCAAATACGTACACATATAATTCAGAAAGAATCCAGAATTTCTGTACAGTACGAGGAAAGCCGTCAGGGGTCCAAAATCAGTTAGACCCAGGTAAATTTATGTTGTGTTTCTAGCCCTTGAAAAATTAGAATCGCTAGATAGGGATTCACCTTTTTTATCTGTCTTTTGTTTTTTTTTCATAGATCTTTGTGCACTTTCCACAAACTAGAATTCAAGTTACCTCGAACAGTACTCGATGTCATTTACAAATCCTTTATTTACCCACTTCTCGAATACGCTGATATCATATGGCAAGTATGTAACGTAACCTCATTCGATTCCCAACGCTTAGAACGAGTGGAGTACATGAATGCTCCCTTACAGGTTCAGGGGGTGTAAGGGGGTCCTCGTATTCCTCTCTCCTTGCAGAACTAGTTTGGGAAACACTTTGGGATCGTCGTCATTCTTTGTCTATGTTCTACAAAATTGTTCACGGTAATATCCGCCAGCATCTTAAAGACCTAATTACTCCTGAAGTTGCCGTTTCTATCTGTTACGACCTTCGTAATAAGCACAACCTTCGGCTGCCATGTTGATTGATTATATGGATGACGTCCTCTGGGAACAACATTACGATGCGAGCGTGCGACTAAAAAAAGTTTGGAAAAACCTTTCCTTCATCATGAAATCTACGTGCATTGTCATAAAGGTTGAACAAATGGCTTAACACACAGATGTATGTATGGTATGGCGAGTAATAATAGACTGGGGTCCGGTCCATGAACTTGGAGTTAACTTCATGTAACTCTGAGTGCATCTCCCGTAGGCGGCAGAGCGGTAAACGTTAACTTCATGTAATTCTGTAAACTTTAGTCCCAAGTTACTCCCAAGTTACCACCCCGCTCGGTAAATGTACAAGCGACTGTTTGGTGAGTCTTTGAATGTATTGTGTTTCTTTAAAACCCTTCGGATTTGTACCCTGCTAAATCTCAAAATTTTACAGTAAGTCGCGAGAAAATTCAAACATTGGGTTGACCTTATTGGAAAACACATGGTTCCGACACCCTTCTGAACAGCCGAATCGCGGGGAGCGATTTCTACCGAAAATGACCGAAATAAAACATGACGTAATGCTTGCAACAGCATGCGGTTGCTGATTGGTCAAATGTTTGTCAGGGTATTATGGGTTGCCGCCTGCTAGCAGAAGCCGGAAGTGAATTCCAAGGATCGAGATGGACTCCAGTCAATTTTCCAATCGTCCCGAAACGTAACAAATCTACTTTCATTTCGACATCGGGACAGTGGTAACGAACACCTAATTTCTTATTTCCTGCGAAACATACCTTCGCTCTCACTGCGCTCAGACAGGCAAAGAAGGTTATCTATTACGTTATAGTGTAGCCTTCTTGGATAGGCGAAGGTAGGTCAATGGCTTGAACTTTTCACCCTTTTCACCCGGTCTGTTTGCTGTGTCAGGGAAACAGTTTTCTCATCTCAATATTACAATTAAAA